ACGGCAAACGAGAAAGTATTATAATGTTTGCCTTTCTATTACTAATAATATAATACTTTGTATACATTTCAATTCCTTTGTTTAACTGTTCTATCTGATTATTAGATAGACTTCTATAGGGCTGTGCGATTAATCAAAATCGCATTGCAATCGTGATTTGAGACGTTGCAAAGCCTGCGATGTGGTCACGTTATTACTCTGTTCCAGAGCATATGCATGACTGTCAGCCTTGAATGGCAGCCTTACTAACCAATAGTGAGCGCACCTCCGTTCTCCCCAATCAGCACTGCTCTAGCCAACTGCGTAAACGCCCACCATTAAAAAAAAACTAAACAGAAAGCGGGAGAGAGAGAGTGTGTGTGTGTGATTATGGCGTCTACAGGGTCAGATCAATAGTTAGGCAAATTAATACTAAAGAAAAACGTATGTAATATGAGATTACTTCGGCTTCAAAATGACAGAAACCAAACAAAAAAGGTAACTTTAATTTGCAAGAGCTGTCACAACTGGGGGTCGACCGATTATCGGTGCCGATATTAAACATTTTTATGATTATCGGTATCAGTCATTTTCAAAACCAATTTGCCGATTCAATTATTTAATTTTGAAATGCACTATTTGGCTCCGATGCAGCCTGTCAGAGCTCAACACTCTGTGACCTAGAGCAATCTCCGCCCACCTGATTTGTTGGGAGTCGTTGCTGAAGTTGCAATAAATCACAATCCACTACATTGAAGTTGCAAAACACCTCAATATTATCTATGATTTCCGCAATGCGGAAAACGCGGACAGAATCGCGGAATGCAGTCATATAAATGGAATTTACTGTATAACGCGGAATGTCAGGAAATTTGTCAAAGTTTGGATAAATGAATAAAAAGTAGGTCAGTACACTTAAATCGAGTCGCGATATGGACTAGTATCTGTAATAAGCCGCAAAAATACTATTTAAATATGAATCCTGCATGTTCTGCGTGTCTGTTAATGAATGACACAGACGTGCGGTTTTGTGTACTACACCCATACTGAAGAGCGGGTGACGCTCTCGGTGTTGTCAGCATCTGCCTTCTCACTAAATTATGACAAATACATGAACAGCACCCCCAGTACTGCTCTCAGAGTCACTTCATGAGCATTTGACCATTTCATTTGAGTAAAACTAGCGTCATATCATATACATAGGCTACAGAAACTTAAAAGGTCCTCATGGCAACCCGTCAAAATATACGTCCGGTTTAGCCGAATATATTACTGTGGTGCAGTAGAATATACGTAATACTACTACAACAATTATTACAACTTTTGTTGAGAATAATCACACAATACGCTATTTCTTCCATGTTTTAATTTTAAACTCCTTTGTCAAAAAATAAAGCTTTTAACTCTGATTTGAGGCTACAGAAACTTAAAGGGTCCTCATGGCAACCCGTCAAAATATACGTCCGGTTTAGCCGAATATATTACTGTGGTGCAGTAGAATATACGTAATACTACTACAACAATTATTACAACTTTTGTTGAGAATAATCACACAATACGCTATTTCTTCCATGTTTTAATTTTAAACTCCTTTGTCAAAAAATAAAGCTTTTAACTCTGATTTGATTAAAAGATAAATTAATGTTTTATGCCTTCATTTGCACTGTACTGTAAATTACGGAAATTTCTAGTGTCACATAAACCAAGATTAGGATGACAAAAATTGAGACATTTCAATAGGCTATTGAACTAAGTGTTCCTATAATAGGCTATTAGTGTTATAGTTTCATGAAAATAGTTGCAGTCTTCTAAACAACTTCTACAATATACTATGAAGACAATTAAATTATTTACACTTATTTTATACATTGTGTTTTTTTAAGTTAATCCATTGATCTGCATTAGATGATGAATTCAATAGTCACCTCTACTATTGTAGGTTATGTTTTAGTCATCAGAAAAGAATTAATGAGGAATTATGAGAGGTTATGCTATTACACATACATTTCTAACATGTAAATTATTGAAGCCAAATACTTACATTTCCCAAGGCTGTTTAGCTGTAGAACACTATTCATAGACTTAATCATGAAGCATACAGTGGCCCCACTTTTAACTATCTCTTTATATTACCCTTATTGCAGATGGATGCACAGAGGAAGACGAGAGTAAAAAGTGCAGGGTGGGAGTACTACACTCTGCCAATACTTTGTGGTCTCATCTTAGGATTCATCACCATGACTTGTATAAATCTGCACAAACATGCGAAATGCGAACTGAGCAGGGGGCAACATCCACATGCCAGCCTACAATACATGACATGTTTCAGAAACAACAAAAATTGACAAATCTGGATGACAGATCAAAACAAATGGACAAACTTATCACAGAAATGATAATTACTGACAACCAACCATTCACTATGGTCTCTGACGTTGGCTTTAAGCGACTCATGGATGTGGCAGAATCACAATATGCACTACGGGCTGGCCCTACAGCTCGGCCCAGCAAGCTAAGCCTCTGGCCTCTTACACAAGGAATAGGGACATCTGGGACATCTGGGATAGAATTGTCCCTTTACACTGCCGTAGGATCGGCTCTACCAATTCATATCCGAATCTTAGCCTTTATTGGCTAAATCAATAGGCTGATCTATGATAAATGACAAAGGGAAAGCTAATATTTCCCATGTGGAAGACCAGGGATGAGGTGAGGTAGTTTAGGAAGAGCATGATGAGCTAGAGCAGGTGCAGCACGGCTGGCCCAGAAGCTGTGGGTGTGTCCTCACCGTGCCAGCCAATAGGACGTGAGCAATAGTGGGCACTGTGTCAACAACCCTGTTGTTTTTCATTCCACCTGGGCA